TTCTTGTCTGTGGCTTCCCTGTGCTTTGGTAGTGGAGTGAGTGAAGGCTCCTGACAGGGGCTCATTGTGCTGCAAAGTGCAGAGGTGTTGCAAGAGCCAGACCCCTCCCAAGGAGGCAGAGAACAGCCCTGCAGGAGCAGAAAGGAAGTGGAGTTGGCCTCGTGGGTCCTTGTCACAGCCCCACTGTGGTTCGAGCCACCTACCCCGACCCCAGCACAGCCAAGAGCTGCACAACCCATGGGTGATCTTCTCTGAGGGGATGGAGATGGGAGGCTCCTGCCACAGGAGCTCCTTCCAGCTCTCCTTCCAGCCCTGCTGCTTCTTCTCCATGAGCATGGACCACGCTGCTCCAAAATAGCTGTTCTGACTCCAGCATCACTGCAGCTGTGTGAAGTGACAGAACTGGAAATGATTATGGGGCCAGGGAGGAGACTGGGGGCCAAAAGGAAATCTAAACCTACAGCCCATCACTGTAACTAAACCTGTCTGCCAAAAGCAACCTCCTCAGTTCAGCTTCTTACCTGGTGTAAGAGACATCAAAGGCATAAGGATCTGGTTTCCTCAGCTACTATCCTTTCACTTGTGCCTGCTTTCTGCCTGTGTAAATCCATTAACTCTTGCCCAAGGTAACAGCCCAGAATGAGGTACCTGATCTGCCTCTTTTCAGGCAACACAACCTGAGATGAAAGCTGTGCAAGCTTGGCATGCCCCTCTGTAAATCCCTACGTGTCGATTCCCTGTCTCCTCCTCAAGTTTTACAGGATGCCGACAGCTCTCTGCCTGTTTTATGGTTTCGTGGCAGTTGCTCGACACATCAATATGAGAATTAATTAATCTTGGCTACAGGGTAGGCAGCAGCTCAGGCAGCCCAAGAGCAAACAAGGTCAGGATTTCAGCAACAGCCCATTTAGAGAACTTGCTGGGGCTCCAGCAGAGCAGCCTCGTCTCTGCAATTTTTATTTGGATCACTGCTCTCTTGCCTTGTTTGCAAGTTCTGTCCTGTTGGCAAGGCTGCTGTGAAGCCAAACCCAGAAGACTATAGCAGATGACTCTGCTCCATACAGGGAACAAGGATTAGGGCAGGGATAGTGTTTGGCTCACAAACACAGTCACTACAAAACAATTATTGACTTAAAATCCCTTTGCTGGTGGCCCAACTTTCATTTGGTGATGTTAAAAGGTCAGGAGGAAAATTAAGCTTTTTTTTGCCCTAATTTCTTTAAGTGCTAAATTCATGGCAAGCAATTGAATTAACAATTTAGATTAAGGCAACAGCTTCAGATGGTGGAGAAACTCTGCTTCTCAAAGGATGCCTGAATAAAAAATTTCAGAATGGGGTTGGAATTGCTGCCCTTGGCCTCCTGTTACAAACATCCTCCTTGGTAAGTGAATAATCCAGGACAGCCATGCTCATTGCAGCACTCAGCCCTGTAACATGCCCACAGATCACAGTGAAAGACTTTGAGCAGCAGCAATAAATACAGGGAAGAAGAAGGATCTACATCAGACTGGCTCTAAATTAATCTGTTTCCTGAAAAAAAAAATTACTATTACTAGTGAACAGTATTTATCAAGTCAATGCTCTTGGCAGTCCTTGGTAGGTATGAACTATTTTGAATTTTTTTTTTTTTATTTTTGTTCTCTTTGTGTAGCCAAACTTCCTCTGGCTGATCAGAGTGCAGAGTGAGAATGCCCTGATGGAGAGGAGGGATGTCCTGTCTCCATGAAAGGGGCACGGTGGCAGAAGCAAAGGCAAACCCAAAGGAGGGCTCGAGGGTGATGTGACTCCTTTCTTCCTCAAGCCCTGGGCACAGACCCTGTGCAGCTGAGTGCCCTCAGCTCAAACAGGCAATAATCCAAGAGGCTGCAAGGTGGTGGATTGGAGCTGGCATGGTGTAGCTGGGAAGCAGCCAGCTCGTTTCCTGGGTGCCTGTTGACAGAAGGGCTTTGACTGCACACACAAGCCTTAGCAGAGACAAAACTCCTGTCTCCCTTTCCAACAGGAGAATGGACAGATATGACTCTGTCAGCAAAAAGTATTTTTCATGTGAGTGGGTTGGGTTGGGTTGGAAGAGAGGCAGAGATCACCCAGTTCCAACCCCCTGCCATGGGCAGGGACATCTTCCACTAGACTGGGTTGCTCCAAGCCCCACCCAGCCTGACCTTGAACAATTCCAGGCACTGTGCACCACAGCTTCTCTGGGCAACCAGGAAACTCATCCTGGACTTTCTTATCAAGCTGGAAAGTGAATAGTGGTGTGTAGATTTGCATGGCCCAGCCCCTATAAACTGATAGTTTTATTCCAGTGTGAGATGACCCTTTGTAATCTAAACCACAATGGTTGGTCATCCTGGTTGAAGCAGAAAAATCCTCTTATTAGGGGCAGAAATTAATTAAATTTTCATTTATCACTCTTAAACAGCAGTTCCAGCCATCCCTCTATCCCAAACCCTTGGTTTCAATTTCTTTTTTTCTTTTTTTATTTTCTTTTTTTTGGGGGTTTGTTTTGTTGTTGTGGTTTTATTTTTTGTCCTGAGAGCAGTGCTGAGAAACATGTTTTCCATGGCTGGTTCCTTCAGAAATGTTATTACTGGCTTGGGAAAATTCGTGTACAATAAGATTAAGTTTCTCATACTGGAAAATTCAGACACTACAAATTTTTAATGTCAAAAAACCAAACAAGTAAAAACAAGTAATTTCCTAAGAACATACACAATCTGGTGTTGGTAGTTTTTCATGGGAAAATGCTTCACTCCAGTGTGTGAGCCTGTTCCTAAGGTAACTCATGGCAGATGGGGTGAGAGGAAAAACTCACAGGATAATTACAAAGCCTCACTTATCAACCTGCTCCTAACTGTGCTTTGGAGTGGTAGGCAAACATGCAAAACACCGAACCACTCTGTATTTTTATGATGCTTTGAAGTGCGAGTTCCAAAGAAATTTTAACTCGCATGACTTCAGCATTTCCATAGCTGGGTAGTGCTGGTGTCTCGGGGCAACAGCCACCATCTGGCTTTCCAGAAAGAAGTCCAAAACAGAGGGTCTAGTTGGAGATACCATGTTCTTAATCAAGAGAACTGGGCAAAGGAGGGAGCTTGGGAAGTCTTGATGGGTAAATCCCACCATGGTCCTTCTCATGTCCTAAGGGATATTCCCACCATGCAACCTTCGGTGCTCCAGGGTGGCATCTTGGAAGCACAAACAGGTTGGTAGAAGGGGAACCATCATCCCTGATGCATTTCAGAGGTGATTTTTCAGGGATCCTTTAGTTGGGGTACGCTCCCTCTTTCAGCCAAGCGTGTGTGTTTCCCACTTTTCTGATATTGCTCTCCAGAGTGGAGTGGCAACAGGAGATGCTGAGTGTCAACCCTGGGGAGCCTCTGCCATCAGCAGATGCAGGTGTTGGCAAGTGCAGGCAGGCTGCTAAAAATATCCTGCGTGCTTTATTCTTGCTTCAAAGGCCATTAAGTATTTCTATGAGAGCCTTTTTCATCTTCAGCATGGAGATCTGCCTAGTACTCCCACGCATCCTTTATAATCCCTGGAATCTCAGGTTCTTCCAAACTGGGATATCTGGGCTGAAGATCTGAGAAACAAAACCTTTAGTGCTGTGTGGCAGCACTGGGAAATTTAGGCAATGAAAGTGAGTTTCTTCCCCTTTTAGACATCCTTGCAACACTAATTCTACTGAGTGCAGGCTGTGGGTTTACTTCCTGTATCTGCAGAGAGCACAATCAAATCCAATTACACTTCACACGAGCATAATCCACATATGTGACTTTTTCATGCAGACTATTTAGGTCTGCTTCACAAATAGCAGAGGGGTGTTGCAAGGAAGTGTCGTCTCACAGAACCCAACACACCCATGCCTTAAAAACAAAAGCACATTGCTTTCCTCTCAGCCACTTCATTCCCAGTGTGTGCTCTGTGATTCCTCGTAGCCCTGTGATTCCTAGCAGCCCGGGTGTTTTTAGTCATCCTAATGTGTTTGCTTAGGCACCAACATTAGTGTCAAAAGCACTTAATGCAAAGGAAACTCCCCAGGAGTGCACAGCTCCCTGCCAGATCCATCGGTGCAGCGTTTATTACCACGGGCTGGGTAATGAATTACCCTCTGATTCTGAGGGCTGCTTCCCACTAGGCCAGATGGGGGAATAAAACTGCTGGGCCCTGTGGCAAGCACATTTCTCTCCCTCTCAGGATTTTTGATAGAGGTGCACAGAGAGAAATGAAAGAGAAAATAATTTCTATTTCTGCTCCTTGTTTTTCCTATGTGGAATGTGTTTGGAGAATTGTTTACCTGGGGTGATTGCTTGATTGGATTCTGGTGAGGATTGTTTGAGCCTGATGGCCAATCCAACCCACCTGGGGCTGGACTCAAGAGAGAGGGTCACAAGTTGTGTTAGAGTCAGAGAAAGTAGTATGTAGTTTTAGTATCCTCCTTTTATATAGCATATTGATGTATTTTAGCATAGTTATAATAAATAGATAATTCAGCCTTCTGAACTGAGTCAGACATTGTCATTTCTTCCCATTGGGTTTGCCTGCATTTACAATAGGGCCCCATATTGACAGGCTGAGCGGGTTGGGGTTTAACAGCCTGGGAAACAGAAGGTTTTGGGGACACTTCATTGCATCTTCCAGTACATAAAGGGGGCTGGCAAGAGAGCGACTTTGGACAAGGGCATGGAGTGACAGGACAAAGGGGAATGGCTTTAAAACTGAAGGAGCTTGGATATTAGGAGGAAATTCTTGACTGTGAGGGTGGTGAGGCACAGGCTGCCCAAACAGGTTGTGGATTCCTTGTTTCTAGAAGTGTTCCAGGCCAGGCTGGATGGGGCTTGGAGCAACCTGGGATAGTGGAAGGTGTCACTGCCCATGGCAGGAGGCTGGAACCACATGATCTTTAACGTTCCTCCAGTCCAAACCATTCTGTGATTCTATGTTAGGTGGCTGTGGGTCCTCGTGCACTCACATCAGCCTCCAGTGACAATAAATCTGAGATGAGGATGGAAATGTTTATTCTTGACTGATGCTGTGATCTCGTTTTGAGCAGATGATTCAAACCTGTGACACAGTGACATCCTCCCACCCTGGAGTCTATTCATGAAAACTCTCATTTCCCATCAGGCTAATTGGGGCTGGGTAACTGTGGCTGAGCCCCTGGGAACCCCTGGCAAGGTGCCTGACCCCTTTCCCAGCCCCTGGCAATGACTCCAGTTTTTCTCCTGTGCCCCCAGCTGTTTTGCAGTGCAAGCAGCTCAGTTTGGAAGTGAGGCTTTAAACCAGGCTTACCTGAGCCTAAATGTGGGTTTTGGGGCAGAGGATTTAGCCAAGAGCCTTCTCATGTGACCCCATCTTTTAGTAAGCCACTGCCAGGCTCTGTCTGTGGGCTCTCCTTAGGCAAATGGAGGCCTGGCTCACTCACTGCTTTAAGAAACCCTCTTTCCTTCATGATTTGTTTGCTGCTTTGATTAATTTTTTTTTCAAGTTTCAAGTCTTTGATGTAAAGGAAACAGTTAAGAGGAATTTGAGCTGAGCTGTGGAGGTGAAGAAGTAGTCGGAGATTCCATTTCAATCTGCTACTGGAGTTTTGAAGGCAACTCTTAATCATTTTTCTTTTCTAATCTCTTCTTTCTTCCCCCTTTGTAGCAGAAAATGAGCTTTCCTGGGATTTCTGGCTATCACATCGTGCTGGAGGTGTGTGAATCTTCTCTGTGCCCACCAGGATTTGTTGCTTTGCTGTCAGATCAGCTCTGCCTGTGGGGGTGCCTCCAGCCTTCCTTCCATGCATTCTGTCTTCCCTGGAGCTGTAACAACAAAAACACAACAATAATATAAATATAAGAATCCCCACAATTGCTTTAATTCAATTGCTTTTTTCTTAGGGTTTCCAGTGCCAAACTCTTATGCCTGGAAATATCCAGAGCTAATCCATATTTGTAAATGCTGGAGTCACCCTAACAGCAGCTGAAACAACACCAGGCTTCCCTGCCCCTGTGCCTTTACATCTGGTGCTGGAGAGCCTGGCAGTGATGGCTCTGACACAGGACACTGTCCCAGCTCCTGGAGATGGAGGGTGGGGGATCCCAGCCTGCACAGGAGCTTTCCAGAAGGAGCTGGGAAGTGGTGAGGCTGGTTTGTTCTTCCCACATGCCAATTTACTGTAACGCAAGGCAAGTCACCTCCTCACTATCATCAAAGTGGGAGAGTTTATTCCAGGGGATTTTTGGGGTGGATTTGCCTAGGGCTGCTGCCTGAGCTGGTGAGGCCATTAATTAGAGAAAACAATATTGACTTTCAGCATCTTTTGAGAAACTGAGGATCATTTTAAAGAGACAGATCTCTAAAAGGGCCTTGTGCCAATCCCTCACCATTCCAGGAAGGCCTGGATCATCCTGGCCTGGCCTTTGCCTCCTGCTCTAACAAGGATTTAACATTCCCATTATAAATCCATAGAGGAACTGACCCTCTTTCCATCTATATCTCTGATGGAGAGTGAGATCATTACAAACAGTGTCACTCTGAACAATTAATTGCCTGCAATGTAAATACTACAAACAGTGTTTTAACCCTAAATCCCAGAGTTTCTCACCCTGTGGAGAAGGGATGTGAGCTCCTGCTCCTCCAGCCAGCTGCCTGGCTTGAAGCCAGTGTTTTTACAGTGCCAGGGAGCAGAATTTGGAGTATTTGGGTGCAGACACAGCAGCTGTGCCTTTGTCACCACGTGCCTTGGCAGCTGGAATGTGGAGCTCCTCAAAGGGCATGCCATCCGATTTCCTGGCACGGCCAATTCCCTGGACCCTTGGCATTTTATAGTCCTCAGAAAAGGTTTCTTGCTCAGGGCTTTGTTAGTGTTTGATGTTTTAAGAACACTAAGCAGACACCACTCTCCTAATCCTGTCAGATTTGCAATGAAGCAGATATGTAATCCTTCATGGGTATTAAATTTAATAGCAATAAAGTCTATTTAAGAATTACACTGTCAAATGCCTGCCTAAGCAGAGGAAAATATTCTTAATTTAGACTTCATCAGAAATCTATTTCCAGTTGTTCTTGTGGAAGTCTCCCCTGCATGTGTGGGGATAAAGATGAGAAAAATGAGCAACAGGTAGTTCCAGATCACTCTTTTCTGGACACTTCTGAGAGAAACAATTCCCTGTAATACATGACCATATTCACATGAGTGCACATACATCTCTACAACTGCTTTTACATCCATAACAGCAGATGTGGGTGCACTCAGGGGCACCCCTGTGTTTAAGGAAAAGCCCCAAGCTGCATAATGCATATTCATGCTAGGGGCAGGATTTTGGGGGGGAGGGAGGGGAGATGTGCTGGGGGCTGAGAGACGAGGTGGAAGCTGTGCCACAGGCAGGATCAGCAGCTCTGGGAGGGATGAATAAGGAATGGGGGGCACAGCCCTGAGGAGGGGAGCAGTGAGGAGAAGTCCTGAGCCTCTGGGTTTGGTGCCCCTCCTAACTGAGGAGCTGTAGCTTGGCTTTGCTTGAGCTTGGCCCAAACACCAGGGTAAGCAGGTTCATTCCACAGATGGAAAGCAGGTTTCTCAGCTGAGTAAACAGCTGAGTTAGCTACCTAATTAAACAATAATTTTAGTGTCTAAAAATTTTAACTCAGCCTCTCCTTTTGGCATGAAATGGGTAAGAGGTCCTTATCTGACCCTCAGTGTCCCAGTGCTGTGGCTGGGAGCCCTGGTGCAGGCAGGAGGATGAGGTGGAGCTGCTGTGGTGGTGGTACCTGAGACACAGCTCACAGCAGAGGAGAAAGTCTCACAGAAAAAGGCTTTTGTGAGACTTCAGGCCAGAAAAAAAAGAGGAAAACTCCATCTTTGCTGTCTGTGAGCTATGCAGCACGACGTGCTGGGCAAAACATGAATGGTTGTTTCAGATGTTGGGTGACTTTTCTCCAAGAATTCGCATCCTCCTGCTCCCACCAGCTGCGGAGCAGAGAATGCTGTCAGGACGTCACAAAAACAAATCCTGTGGGACATGAGTGCCCTCTCCACGTCCCCTCTCTGCCCCCAGCCCTCCGGGTAGGCAGGCAAACACCCGGCTGTGCTGTGCTTTACACGAGAACTTCTTGCATGCGACAAAACCAAGCCCGTGGTGTCACCCAGACCCAACCAGCCGCCGGCACAGGAACTGCCTGATACCACGGGCTAATTAAGGAGCTTTTAATTAGTTTCCGCCAGCGATATGATAAAGTGCTGGCTCTCCTCGTGGGGAAGCCTTGCACCCCTCCTCTCCTACAACAGCTGCCTTCCCAGGAAAGGCACTGAACGCCGGGGCAGGGATGGAAGATGCTCTTTTTCTTTTAAATGCACGGATCATCCCCGTCACGGCTCTGGATGCTGTGCAGGGATGGTTGGCGGCTTGGGGGGGACCTGTTGTGCCACAGCCCGGTGCCATCCTCCCCAGAGGGTTTTTCACATCCATCCAGGGCGGGCATCTCCAGGCTGCTCCTCGGCCCCAGGCTGCCGGCTGTCCCAGGCTGAGCCTGCTCCAACACGAACCCGAGGGAGCCGGGGAGAGCTGGAGCTCGCTGATGTCCCTGCGAAGAGGATGGAAATCCCCGCCCGGGGATGGAGCAGGGATGAGTTTTGGTTTGATCCCGATGAAGAGAGGGCAGGAGGAGCCTGAGCCAGCGTGGCCTCCGCTGCTCTCAGCCTGGGATGACCCCGGGTAGGAGTCCGAGCGCTGCGGGGATGCTGCTGGCATCTCAGCGATGGGCTCTGCCTGCACAGCAAGCCTTTTTCTGAAATGTGATGCCCCGATTCTTGAGATTTTCTAAAGCCTTCTGAGTTTGCATCCTGTTAGAGAGCTTTCTAGCACAACTTTCTGTAAGCAACCGGTTGTTTTGCGTTCCTTCGTAGAAGTAGAGAAACTTAATGTACTAGTAGTTTGTCCAATGTCATTGGAAAAGTGGCGCCTTCACCCTCCGCTCCACTGTCACCTTTGAAGAAGTATAAATGCTGGAGTCATAAAATAAACGCTCTCTCTTTTTCACCTTTGCAACAGCAGTGGCTCGTGTCACGCTTTCACATGTCCTGCAGTGACAACGTGAAACTTCGTGGGGATAAGTCTTTGCAGAATTTGCAAGTCCCTCATCATTTTTTTCATGCATGTGCTGCGATACCATCGCCTAAATCACACTGCAGGGTCCATTTTATAGCAACTCAGGCATGTATTTCACACAGAAAATCTATATGCTTGGAAAACATTTAGTCCATGCAGGTTGACATTAGTTAAAACCTCTGAGATAAACATCTTTCAGGCTGAGAATTTGAGCTGTGAATAAACAGACTGAAGTCGGCTAAACTTAGTTTTTTACAGAGTTAGAAATGTGTGATAAAAGGCACATATTCCTGTGGCTGAGTCACCCCCTTGTAAACAGAGTGTCGAAAGAATGCTTTCCCTTGAAACACCTTCCCTTGGAGCAGCCAAGCCTTGACCCTTCCAGACAGCATGAAAATATCTATATATATAGTTCCAGTAGATTTTCATACTGTCTGACTAGCTGCCAGCACCTACTTCAGAGTGGCCTTCCCTAGAGGCAAGGACACAAGCAGGAATCTGTGTTCTGGCTTCAGTTTTCTCTTAAAATGCGAAATTGAATTTTAAACAAATGAGAGGGGTTGGCTGATCACAGGCTATTCTGTGATGGATGCTCTGTACCTGCTGACTGATGGAGGCTGTACACCTGCTCCCCATGGAGCAACCCTGATTTACGTGGGCTGAGGATTGAGACCACTGATTTTATGTTAGACATTGTGGCTTTTGACTCCTGGGAGTGCAGGAGAGGAAAAACTCACCCAAGTAAAAGACAGCTGCTTGCCTCCATGTCTGTGGCAGAACAATATTGGCCTCTTAATTTCCTACTGATTAAACTGTAGGAAAACAAAATCTGCTTTGCCTGGAGCGATTTGGCTTCAGCTCAAAAGCTTTCTCATCAAAATGAAATATCATTTGCTGTGAAACCATTAGCAGGAGGATAAATGTAGTTATAAAAGCAGCTATTTGTAAAACCCAAGTGGGGAGCAGCAAAATGCTGTAATTTAGGAGAAAATCTCCACAAGGGCTCTGGAGGGCAAAACTCCTTATAAAGCCCAAGTTTCATCAGGATTGTGTGATGAAAAAGAGAATTGTTCAGCTGCCCATCACTCAGATACAGAAGCATTTTATTTCCTAACATCTCTCTTGGCTTGTCTAAAAGGTGAGCTGGCTGGCACAGGGCTGGTGGGGCTCTCCAGTCTGGTTTTGATGCCCCCAAGCTCAGAAGGGGTTGGGAAGAATTTGTTTGGGAAGCATGAGGATGGAAATGGTGGTGCAGCCCCTCAAACACCCACATACTGTGATCAGCAGGGCTCAGGGCTGGAAAATGAAGTATAACCTGTATAATCCTACATAATGCCTAGTAAATAGCAGGTCATTTTAGTCCTGGGAAATAGCCACAAGAGGGAGATGTGATTGGATGTGCCAAATGTATGTCTTTAATAGTCAGGAATCTTGAGAAATTGAATATTAGTTCAGAGCTTACTAGAAATCCAAGAAAAAATTTCACCATAGGAGCCTGCAGTTTTGGGATGACCAAGTATATGAACTGAATTTTGGAAGTACTTTTACAATAACAAAATCGTCCATAATGCATTTTGGCCTTAATTCCTCCCTCGTCCTAATGAAAAATTGTGTTTTCTTGAACACTGCCTGAATTACATTAACAATTTTGAGTGAAAAGAGAGGAAACACCGAGCTCCCCAAAACCCTAACAAAACAAGAAGTCAAATTTTCAT